CTACTCCCATTTCGTCTACTCTCAGAATCGGCAATATTCCAATTTCGCCTACTCCCATTTCGTCTACTCTCAGAATCGGCAATATTGCCATTTCGCCTACTCCCATTATGCTACTGTATTTTCTATTTTTGTCAAGTTGTGTTCTCATAATTATTTGTACCTATTTTCTTCAGGTTCCTGTAGTCTATGTATGCCAATCAAAACCATATTTTATTATTTATAAATGATTATTTAGTGAACAAACCGATCGTAGACGAAATGGGAATGGGGTAGATTTTGAGCGTATAGACGAATTGGGAGTATAGGCGAAATGGGTGTAATTAAGCCAACTGGGAATTTTGCTGTAAGCGAAATGGGAATTTTGCCGTAGGCGAAATGGGAGTAGGTCAACCGGGAATAACTCTAAGATACAGCCTCCTTGTTGACAGATATCATCAGTAGACTCGCTGTGTATAGAGTTAATCGTAAATAGAGGCACCTGAGTGTACAAATCAATGTGATTAATTGTAAATAGCGGTATTATCACATTTCTATTCACGAGCTTGTTACTAGTTTGCAGTTGCATTAATTCGTGTGAGAAAGAATTAATTAATAACGCGTGCATGTGATACTAGATTTGCACGACAACATTTTTTGTTTTTAGTTTCTCACCCTTGTAGCAGGAGCGAATGGGCTACACGGATAAAGGTAGGTTAATACTAGTGTGTAGAGAATAGTACTAGGTGTAGCAGAATATAGCGTAACATTAACGCGGCATTAATTCACAGAATAATTACTACGTTACATTGGTCTTTTTAATTGATTAGATCGAATTACAGGTGGCTGAATTAAAGCAATTTATGGATTTTTTTCTTTCCAATTGATATAAACATTATCATACATGCAATTATTTCCATGCAGAACGTGGTGGAAGCACGTGTTTACGGATAAGTTTATCATTTATTGATTTAATGACGGTACATTAATAGAAACGGAATGTGCTTCCAAGCTTCTTACTGTCAGTGCAATAAATATGTACAAGAATTTTTTTATAATGTCAGGAAGTCAATGTTTCATGCGCTTTGCATATCTGTTTTAACAGTGTAGCGCCTACGTGTGTGCGTTTGCGTGCGCGTGTGTGTGTGTGTTTGTTTGTTTGTTTGTTTGTTTGTTTGTTTGTGTATGCGTGCGTGTGCGTATGTGTGTGCGCGCGTGTGTGTGCGTGTGAGTGACAGTGTGTGCGTGTGTGTGTGCGCGCGCGCGTGTGTGTTTGTTTGTTTGTGGGCGTGCGTACGTGTGTGACTGCTCATATATAGTATATTGACGTTATATTCTGCATATAAGTTATAGTTATAAATTACTATAGTAGTAGAAGTTTATATTTGCATAACAGTATTATATATATATTCGTGTGCATAACCTTCGATATCAGCTTTCTCAATTGTGTGGTGCATGCTGTAAACATGTTTCTTGCTAGGGGAAAAAGCCTTCACAGACCGTTTTCCCATAGATTTTTTGAGCAAACAAATATATGCTTGCTAATGCTGTTTCTGTGGTTATTGCTGCTTATGATCGTAAAATACCTCGGACCGGCGCTTTTCCTAGCAGACAACTGATGACCCATTGTATATGTTTACAATGCTAATTAACTGCCCTCCACAACTGTCAATGCCCGCAAGCTATTGGCGCGCTTGACCAGTATTAATGGACAAAGGTTACGGTAAGGCTTGGGTATAGGGTTAGGATTAGGTAGGATTAACATTAGGGTTAGTATTTATTATTTAATCATATAATTACAGGACTATTACAATATATGAATTATATGAGAACATTAATTGGAGTCGATGATTATTGATTATATCACAGGGGTATAACATCAGCATCTTCTTTTTTGAAGATCAGCAATAAGCCGAATATGGAGTGTCTGTATATAATGTAAATGTGTGACCATGCATATAAATAATCCCCATTGGCACTAACAGAGTCAGTGACAGGCGCCATTCCCAAATCAGGGTTCACATTCGAGGCCCACCAATTCACAGGGTGAATGAACACGACTGTAATCCTGCTCAGTAAAGAAATTGGAATTTACCTCCACACTCATGCGATATTATATATCACGTGACGCTGAACACTGATTAGATTAATCATAGATTTCATATATACACAATGTGTGTGAGACCAATAAACTATGCTCTACAAATTTTTACGAGCTGACGTTATTCTAGCCCAATAGCCTTCTATAGACAAATGTGGCGAATTTTTGAACATGGTCAGAGACTGAATGAGTTGTCGTATATATAAAAATTCACCACATTTGCCTATGTAGGGCTATTAAATCACTGAATGGGTCTTAGAATAGTGCCAGATGGTAAAAATGTCTAGGGCACAATTCATTGGTCTACAGATAAACGCGGCTGTCGCACATTACGCCCTGGTTGTGGTTATAGTCACAACGAACGCCACCTGTAATAGTAGAAGTATCGATCCACGATGGGTTAGGGAGAACCTGAGCGAGTATTGGTTTTTAATTACAGGCAAAGATTTTATATATAATTATATACCAGTGTCGCGCAAATGGACAACGAGCAAGGTGACTTTCCAGTACAGTACCGGTGTGAGTCATTTTAGACGGACTACGATATGTTTATTAACTGGAATGAGAAGAGACATGAGAATGGTTTATTTGCGCATGCAAACGCCACGTACGCAAACGCGCGCGCACACCTTGGAGTAATCATTGTGATTACGCGCGATTACATACACATGCAATACGAATTATATTATATTATACTATATTATATTATATTATATTATATTATATTATATTATATTATATTATATTATATTATATTATATTATATTATATTATATTATATTATATTATATTATATTAATTATTATATCTGTGGGCATTTTCCATATAGGGCACTTTCCCATACCATAGAAGTAATATCGAATATGATATAATCAAGAGTGCATAATAGAGAATTAGAATTAGAGAATAGAGATCTCTATTATGCACTCTTGATATAATGTATCTATATATTTCTATGGCTTATCAATGGCAATTAATAACAATGATTTCATTTCTTGAACGGCCCCTCTCGGGGCATTGAAGAAATACATAATTACATAATATTATAAACAAATTTTGCACAGGGGAGAGATAGTGATCCGCTAGGGGACGATCTGATTGGCTAATTTTATTTGTCTTCTTATTTATTTTATTTTTATTATTTTTTGGCTATTTTGTTTTATTTTTAGAATTGGGGTTAGGGTACGTTAGGGTTAAGGTTAGAATTAGGGTTAGGTTAGGGTTAGGGTTAACTGATTTCTATATCCACAACTTATTTCTATATTCACTATCTCTCCCCTAAGACCTACTAATTATAAACATAAGAATCATGTATTTGGCAACATAATCATTTGACAAACATGCAAGATTTATGCTTATCCAAAGCCAAACTGCATGCAGTTCCCCTTCGCTCGCACTCAAAGATACCAATGATTGAGCCCATAGAGCGAGAGCGCCATCTGTCGTGGAGTTTGATCCATCAATCCAAAGCTTATCCTCGCACGGGTTTAGACTGGTTCTTTTTCTCGCTAGCACTCCGCAATGTTATATAAGGAGCAGGGACAAAAGACTCAGTCTAGAGTGGTAGTTTTTGCATTAGCGGTCGATGTTTCTGCTGCTTAAAAAAATTATACAACATTTTTAACGAATGCCTTATCATATGGGGTTTCCATATGTTGTAGTATTTTTATTTTATTTTTATTTATTTATTTAGGCAATTATCCATCATATACAATACATTGCATACTTTACAATAAAAATTTGAATTCATAAAATTGGATAATTTACCAAGGATATATACACAAAAAGCATGACTAGCACACTTAAATAATTTATGATAATGAAGTAGCCCTTTAAATAATTTCATTTCGTCATAATCGATCACACAATTTAATATATTTATTAACAAACTGCTGCAGCAAGAGGATGAATATTAGGTGCCGGTCCTGTACCGGCGTATCCAACCAAATATTTGCGATGGCAACAGGGTTTAGAATGCATAAAACATCGGTTTTTATTAACTCGTGTCTAAAACCTGCATCTGCCCAAGCATGCGCAAGAATTTAGTAAGTGAAATTGTGGTTAGTTTAGCGGTATTTTCCACGGAAGCAATAAAACAAGGAAATACTGCTAAGAAGACGTTCCTACGAAGTCGCATGTAACGCCTGCCCCCCCCCCCCCCGTCCCCGCCCCCCCCCCCGCTGTTTTCGGGACTGGAAAAGATGTGCTAACAGTTTGTTTCAAATAATCGTAATTCGTGGTCGCAATACAACTAGTAACACAGCCAGGAGGGCTATCGTGATTATAATGTTATGTAATGCGGAACAAGAACATAGGCCTGCCAGCACCCGAGTCAGAAAAAATGCAAATACCGAAGTCGGGACTACTATTGTGAGCACAGTTCAGACGGCGCTAGCTTGTCTGGGGCCTGAAATCTTTTGATGAAGTAAAAAAACATGGACCCGTCATACCTGTCAATGTCGCAGACCGTATCAAGACTGTGCGAATCCTATGACAAGGTTAAGCGTGAAACTGACAAAAAGGCTCTCAAAAAACTAAGAAAATCAGTGATAATAGAAAGCATCACACCGAGCAATTCAAATGTAGAAGCATGAATTTGACATGAAGTTAATGATGTACATGATAATATAAATACTAAATAATGTAATACCATCACACAAGTTGAGTGCATTTCTTTCAAATGATGTGTCACGACTGAGCAAAAGTATATTTGAAAAAAACATCAAGACAATATAAGAGTCGCTATTAAAAATACCTGTTCATCCAAAAACAAATCTGAAAGAAGTCGTGCGAACAGGATATATGTCGCATGGATTGGAGAAACTTGACTTTCAGATGAAGAAGTGATACACTTCAAAATCAACCGACAGATTCTACTCTTCACACCAATACGTGAACAGATAATGACACACAGACCGTATGAAAGTAAAATGCATGGGAGAGAGTGAAACTGACGAAAGTGTGGGATGATTATTCTGTGGGCCATTGATGCCTCAAAAGAAGTTGCCCATTAACGCAAGTTCAAGTAGTGTGAGGTCCCATCTCTACGAAAAATAGGTAATAATGGGTGGCACCATGGCCAAATCACAGTGCCACACCTTTCAAAATGACTATTAGAGCTAGAGCGAAAGCCAAAGACAAATCAAAAGCACAGCTTCAATAGAGAAAAGAAAAGAGCTAGAGAAACAGAAATGGGGCCCCTTTTTTGAAGAAGCTGAAATGTCGGAAAGTTTTCGCGAGCAAAGCGCACCACCAGCACATGTGT